GGGAGGAGACGAGGAGATGGAATGAAAAGAGAGGTAGATCCTTCAATCATAAAAACTATGCACGCCCACGTTTCTCCTTAGCATTCATCGTCTCACTGCCTCTCGCTGTTCCCAGCGCAAAGACGCACCGGTTGCACGAGGCTTTGTCCAGGGAACCGTGTAAAAGATTCACTCTGCGTGTCTGTCTACCTGAATAAAGAGACGGCCAAACCAAGATTCCCGCTCCAACAAAAACCAATAGATCATAATATTATCACAAGCTTACAATTTCTGCCGTCCTAAAAACAGAACCCGTGGTAATAAACAGCATCCGCAATATCAAACAAACTTATTGCGTCGTTACATTATCATACCCTTTAAGTTCCCCTATACATAAAGTGGCGAGGCCAAAAAAAAAGATTCAATGGCTTTTTTTTACATGAGTTTCCACCTGAGAAATGTTTACGAAGGCTGACATGTCGGCGTTATGTAAAAGGAAGGTGACAATTAACATCATGATTATTTATTCAGTTTTGTTTCATTTGAATGAAGAGAGGCGCCAATGCATGATAACGGTCATTTGGTGCACGGGGAAAATAAGACAGACGAATAGATCGTACGGTAAAAGTACACGCACTCTCACTCTCCGCGCACCAAACACCTTTCCGTTTTCAGTTTCGTTTCAGAAAGTTTTACGACACTTGAAATACAAACAGGTCATATAAATGCAAAGATTAAAGATGTTTCTAGTGAGTAAAGAGTACGTGTATGGGTTTAACACCTCAGTCAACATTTTATAGGGTTATTTATATTATGGTGCTACTAGCTAGTTACATACAAAGTAAAGGAGGGGAGATCAGGACGGTAGATGTTTGCCACGAAAGAAGGAGCAAACTGCATCAGAGAGAGGGGGGGAGAGAGAGAGAGAGAGAGAGAGAGAGAGAGAGAGAGAGAGAGAGAGGGGGGGGGGGGTAACAGAACCAAGACGTACCAACGTGAGCTAAAGAACCGTATCGGCTTAGAGAGAAAATAAAATCTAAAGATTCCGCAGACAAAATGTCTCGGCTGCAATCATAACACAGAGAAGATGGAACCTTTAAACTCTCTAAGTTAAGCTCGTGATTTCAGAGCTGTGAACAGTTATTGGGGCACTTCACCTCCCGTGCCGTTTACCGCACGCGAACGTCGGGCATCATGTCACTGGTAACAGAAACATCGCACGAACCGACCCCCACGACAAGGACAACAAGCAGGAATTTGTCAAGATTCATTAAGACAATTCATCTACCTGTGCCGGCCTGCCTGCCTGCAACACCGTTTCTGCAGCTACAACAGTTCACTCGGTTCTACACGTGCCTCGCGAAACACAACGTGGTTAAACAAACCATCCTTCATTCACGTCCGAAGAGAGAGAGAGGGGGGTATCCATATCCCGAAAACACGAACACACACAAGGAAGAACACGGAGACACACGCGGGCGGGCGGCATGAACGGCGGAACACACTCACAAAACACACGAACTACACAGCAGCGGCAGCGCCACACACACACACACACACACACATACACGACGCACCGTGCGATACGTTGACACGGCACGACACGGCACGACACGACACGGCTGACGGGATAGTTAGTTGTTGTAGTAGTAGGACCGACGGGACTGGCATCGCCGATAAGGCGGGGTCAGGGGCGGGGACGAAGGAAGAGAGGGGGGAGGGTGCGGGGGGCGGCGACAGCGCCAGCGACACGACACGCTTGGACAAATGTTTGTTTGTTGTATAGAACGTAGCCCCTTTCACTGGGACAAACCTCCGCGGCCGGCGGGGGCCTTGCCAGAGAGGGGCCGATCTCACACCCACTGAACCCTGTCGAGTTGAGAGGCCAGGACACAGGGGTTGCAAACGTTCCAACTATAGACAATCTAAACTAAACGTTGTGGGGCCCACGAACTACGACGGAGAAGCGCCAGCATAACAGTGTGTGTGTGTACATGTGTGTGTATGCGTGTGTGTGTGTGT